TTTTCAAAGTTCTCGCTACTAAAGCGATAACTGACGTTTACAAGTTTAGTATTGTTCACATCTTATAGGAAATGTAACTTAGTTTTTAATGGTATTTTGGTATGGACGACGGATTTGTCCAAAAGTTTATTTATTAGTTATTATTGTTTATTGGACGCAAGGTAGTGAAATCTTAAAAAATAAAAAAAGTGAAATAACTCCAAAAATGTTGAGATTCGGATCATAATTAATTAGTACTTTTTGGTTCAATTTTGAATAAAGAATCTAATGTTTATTAGGACATGTTGGTTCCATTTTGAATGCAGAATCTACAGGAAAAGTTTTTTTTTAATTTTCCACCTTACCAATCCGTCAGCTACGGTTTTTTCCTTTATTCCATCAATTTCTTAATCTTTCAAAAAAGTAATTAAGAAAGCAATTACTCCACTAAAAAGTATATTAAAGTGAATTGGTTTTCTGAAATTTGCTAACAAAAATATTTTTATTAATGTGTGATTTTTCTTTGTATTGTGAAAATGGATATAAAGTCGTAGGATTAAATCGATGACGGAAATCACTTCTGTTTGTATTTTCCAAAAGGTTTTTATTTCACCAAAGAGATTGTGTTTGACTTCGGTTGAGGTAGAAAACGGAATGAGACAGGAAACACATTGCCAGTCTTGGAATGGATACAATCCTATAAACTCTCGTTTTCATGCCGCCATAAAATGGTCGAACAATGAATTGGACTCAGAGCCAGTAACTCGCTATTGCTCGGCTGTTTCAGCAACCAGGTACAATCGGCAATAAAGGCCGTTATTACCAGGAATTCCGTTCTCGCGTTCTCAGATAAACAGTTATAACAATGTTGCACAGACTCAACTACAAAGGATGGGAATTCTTTCTTGAAAAGCCGACCCGTCCCCTGAGCAGAAATAGAGGTTTCCCTTTTTTTCCTAAAGTAAAACAAACTTGAAGAAATTTTCTTTCGTGAAAAGCGTTATTATTGAATTATTAGAGGCGGCGACCATAATAAATTAATTACATGGTAAATTTGTCTCCGAGAGGGGGATACCGCCCAAGACTTTAGGATAAAAAATTGAGAAAGCGGAAAAAAATATTAATCCCTGTCAAAGGGTTTCATCCGCAAAGTCTTCATCTCTATTTACGTTAATAATGTGTCTATCGAGTGATGGATTAAGGAAATTCAGAATTGATGAATTGTGGAATCGACAACGCAACCCCCTTTCACCGGATTTTAATTTTGTTCCGTGTAAAGCTCTTTAATAAAATTTCAAAACCAAACTTTCCTCTCGAGATGGGAAAATAAAGCTGGAGTTAAAAAAATCTTTTTAAAGCTCATTTTGTTTGAATAAAAAGATTGTCAATATAATTCTGAATAAATTGTGATATTGTTATTAATATTATTACTGCCATAATTGCCAATAACATTTTTATCCAATGGACATGTTGATGCCACAGAAATTTATATAAAAAAATAACATAGAAGATAAAGGAAGAAAAAAAAATATTCTGAGAAGGAGTCTCCTAAAATAGTATATAGGTTAAAGTAAGAGTTGTTAACATTTTGACACAAAAATAGACCTTGTCGTGGTAAAGTAAAACAATAGCCTAAAAAATCTAACTCAGAGGGGTTAAAACTAATTTGAGTTACTCTGAAAATTAATAATGAAAATAATAATTACTGAGTATATGTAAACTGTGGTTAAATAGACTCTGTATGGAGAGAGAAGAAGTGCGTGTATAGGGGATGCTTAAAAGAAGTAAGGGAAGGGTCTTAGAGGGAGGGAGTTCTAAGATTTTGGTGCTCGGACTAGGTAAGACGGTTTAAAAGTGCATGTTTTATGCCGGGAAGGATTATATCACAGGGAGATGAGCAGGAATGGAAAGAGAATTTGAATCGGATGGACTGGGTTATGTAATGAGGATGATGGGTGTTATTAGCATGGTAAAGGAAGAAACAGAGAAAATGTAGAGTTCGGGAAGAAGGATATTGCCAGGATAGGTCAGAATACAGCCGTGACAACCTGAACCCGCGGGGGATGACGAATATAAACCGTAATAGTTCATTAATCATTTTAGGCGCTTATTCTGCTCCCCCGAAAGCCCACCGTATGAATCTGTAGTCGAGGAAGGGGAAGATGATGGACGAGACTACGAGTCCAGGTGGACAGTGGTGGGAGGAGCCAGGACAGGAGGAATTAGATGAGGGCGGCAACACAACGTCGGTAAATTTGGAAAATGTGGTGGTACCAGGTTTTGGTCAAGGAAAACTCCAAGTTTTTAACGGAGGGGCGGAAGGAATTAGGCTGGTTATTGATAGGAAGAGAGGAGAAATTGGGGTGGGATTTGAGGAGATGGCTGGATTCTATACTGATAGTTGAGGACTTGCTTTATCAGAGGCAAACGAGGGTTAGGGTACAAGATCCTGTCTGCATAGGCGATGGAGGGTGCATAACCATCTGAACTACGGGGCAGCAGAAAATGTTCCAGCCCTGCTACATGGTAATGGATTCGTAGTGGCTTGGATGCGATGCTCCTGACGAGAACTTGCTGTTGCTCGGGGGTACCGTTCGCGGTTCCTTCCGAGAGCAGTGTTCCTCTAGAGGGTGGTTAGATATTCCACTTTAACCAAAACCGCGGCCAGAGCGTATCCGGAAGTTCTTACGCTGGAGGAGCCCCAACACTCTGGGAGATAGGCCTTCTCTTTCTAGGGAGCTAGGCGGGACTACCCAGGCTGATGTATTCATTTGCCACTTTGGATAGCCCTTTCCGAACAGTCTGGCGCTTAATGCAGTCCCAACCACTCTGAATGGGCAAGCGGAGAGCGATGTCCGTCTCGCCCCCTCGGGGTTCATCACGGGGTTCTGCACCAAAACTTGTGGCTGTACTACCCATCCGGTCGTAAGCGGAGGTGGTGTCATTCCTCATCTTGAGAATCAAAACGTCCGGTAGAGCTGAAAAGGCTCGGTACGGACGTTAAAAATCCTCATGTCCTGAGTAAATACGCTCACTGAGCCCATGCAGAAGCTGTACATACTCTACTACCAGGGCCTTTGAGCGTTTAGAACGAATACAATGGCCAGCCTGTGCTAAGACCTAGGAACTTCGGAGAGAGCAGGCTACTCTCAATTATGCGGCTGGGTCCTTGGCCAAACCGGTGTAGCAGCTTTCGGATGCGTTCCTCAGATTTCAGTACAGTACTTCTACGAGCGACTTCAGACAAGGAAGGGATTTTTAGGAATACGCTTCGGCGAAGCCTTAGGAAGGACAGGAATGACCCTAGGAACCGTAGCTGGACAACCAACCTACTCTGCTCTGCATTCTCCCGTCGTACTCGGCATAACCACCGCCATCCGGCCTTCTGGCGTTAAAAAAGCAACATAGGTGGTCCTCGCAGGATAAGGGGGTGGCACAGTAAATGAACCAACGTAAAAACTAAACTTTAGTGTGATGGGATTTTATGATAAGTGGATTTTTTTTTCTGGATTATTCAAAAGCATCAAATGACAAGAAAATATTTTTTATTTACATTTTATTTGCAAAAAATTCTTTTAATTTTGTATTTGTGGGCCGAGATTAGAAGAAGCAGCTGGGACATGTGCAAAAATCGTACTGCATTCAAAAAAAGTTCATTATGCGTAGGAACGCCCAATCATATCAAATAACCCCTTAAATAATGATACATTTTCTATATTTATTGCAGTTGAATTCCCAATAAGTGACAATTATTTTGAAGTAAAAGGCAATGAAGCTTTTGATCATGATTGGTATAGGACACACTTCTTCTTTCAACTGAATTACAAGAAATATACACAAACGTTCAGAAGTAGAAAAAAATAAATACACATCGTGTGCAAAATATAGTATGCAAAATATCAAAAATGAGTAAATATGTCAGAAATTTGTAGTTTTATGCTTCAGGTATGCATACAAATTTATTAGAGACTAAATTCTTCTAGCAGTTCAGCACTTAATTTGCAGCCATTTTGGAAATTTCCTTTATTGATAGGTAAATGCTGTGTGGACATTTTATTCAAGCGAAATAAAGGAAGAATATTTTTACAAAGATTGGAGGTTACTTGGGTGGGCTATAAAAAAGATATAAATTTAGCATATCGTTGGTTTTTTTTTCACTGGCTGGAGGATAACAGATATTGGGTTTTTCTTCGTGAGCAAGAATACCCGACTTTTCTTAAAATCTTTGTTTTAACGAAATCGATTTGAAGTGCTTCTGCCTCCTCTCGCTACAAATTTACAAATTAGCGTATTATTAGTTCCCTAGTTTGCGTGGTCCGCTTGACCAATTCAATCTTTCAATAAAAACTTCTTTAACTTCTTTGAAAAATGGCAAAAAGGAGGGAAAATTCAAAAGGTGGAGTTGAGATGGGAAGTTGGTGTCCGAGTGGATCGAAGTCACTATAGCTCAAGTGGTAGAGCAGCGGCGTATCTAGCCGACGATCGTGGGTTCGAATCCCGCTCGTGACACTGACTTTTTTATCTCAACTAAAAACCTTAATTAATTGAAATGTATTATTAGTTTTGTAATTTGGATGCAACTCTAACATCTTACATTATTGTTTTCTTTCCCTAGTATTTTTACATTATCAAAATTTATGTCATGTACTATATATTTTATATGCTGATTTAACCTGTGTTGTCATTTTGATAGTTTATATCATCTTTGTGTTGGTTTAACTGTAATTTTTTGTATAATTTCTACTTACCTTACAAATTTTGTAATCCAGCAGAGCTATTTTCTTTTCTCGTTATCATGGTTTTTGCGAAGACCAACTGAGTGAGGGGTATTAAATTCACATTTAATGTTGGTAACGAGCCTCAGTCATTTCTGGACCCAAAATGATGTAAAGAAAAGCTTGTATGTCTTTAGAAAGCATTAAATGTGAATATAGAAGTAACTGTTTTTCCCCAAACTCATTCTGAAATTTTTTTAAAAATTGGGCAAGGAAAGAAAAACACGTTTACATATTACATTACAATATATTGCTATTTTATTGCCACTTTTTACTAAATAACTCCGAACTTCTTTTGGAAACATGAAGCTCAATTGCTTCTTGTGTTAAAATGGAGCCTGCTTTTTTCACTGCCATTTCAGGGCTGACCCATGGCGTTTTCCAGGGTTTTGACTAGAAAAATCTACTATCCAACTATCTCACATGCAAAGTTCACAAATTTTCAATAAAATATATAACAAGCTATGTTTTGACAGAAATTATTTTCAATAACCTCACAGCGTATTATTTTTTTTAAAAATTTGGATAATACAAGTCTAAGTCTTTTATACGCAAATTGGTGTGATATGAAAAAAGTTTATTAATAAAAGAAATACCCGCATTTTTTTTAATTATAAAACAAGCTGCTTATGAGTAAACCTAAAGCTTTTCGTTTTATCTGCAATTTGTACTGTTAATTAATTTATACAGAATTGAAGTTCAAGCCAATATTGTATGAATAATTATGGTGTTCTATCGGTTCTTGGTCCTTTAAGCTATTAGAAATGATCGGAAGAAACTACTGAAGGATTGCCACCATGGATCAAAGTTTCAAGCGATTGAAAATCCTGTTCGAATTATAATAAATTTCTTTTGTAATATATAATATATAAAGATTTTTACATCTATGAGTTACAAAATCATAAAAATGTTAACAAGATCCGTGCAACTTGATAGAGCTCATACTTTCACCCGTCTCCATCATATAACCATCCATTTAAGCGTAATATCTTTTTTTTCTTTATACACTCCCTAGTCTTCACTCTTTTAATAATTAAGTATGAGCTCTTCCTTTTTTTTTAAGTAGCTAAGGAATCATTACGTTACAAAATTTGTAAAAGGATATCTAATTTAAGGCCTTATAAATTTACCGGCAAAACATTGTAGGATTCACATAATTCAAACGGCACTGTAACTATTTTCTCATTAAACAATTTACGAATGGAAACTATAACTAACTTTCACATTGTATGGATTTTTAAAACTAAGTATAAAAACATTAATATCCGTCAAATAACACTCTAATTGGTCGTTTGTTGATGTAAATGATAAAATTTTTAAAATTACATTTTGGTATCCATCACAAAATGACTAGAAAACATTGAACCCTAAACTGATATTCAACTAAACAAATGCACACACCCTTGTTTCTACCATCATTCATCATCACTTACTCATAAGTACTGTTTAATATGAGCCTGTGTCAAATTAGTCTGTACATTTTTATAAGATTATAAAACTATACGTTTTAAAATAATGGCCGTATTTTGATATTTCAAGCTGCTTTCACGGCCTTCCAACGGGCCAGGGAACATAAGCCTATTTATTTAATCGGGAATGGTTATCTGGCGTTAGATCTAATGAAATCTGTAAAATTCTTAACGAAAAATATGTAAGCTTCTAAAAGTAACATGCCAGACGTTATTAATTCACTATTTCGATTCTTGTAGCCTTCCTAATGTTTGCAATAACTATAAATTACACAGTAGGAATATATATTATATATAATATACTCACTTAAGATATACCAAAAATACCTATGGCTATATATTATTTTATATTTTAATTACAACTCCAGTCTATAAAATATTATACTGAATTTGCCATATCTTTAAATACTCTCTTCCATTAGATAAATATGAGTATTTTTCTTGTTATTACAACAAACACGTTTTTGAGCAGGTCAATAGGCTAAACGATTACGTCATTATTGACAAATATCAAAACTGGTATTTTAATTTATATCTTGTAAATATATATCATTTATAAAAATTAATTGGATAGTTTTTTTATGAGTATTCAAGACTAGTATTACTTTATATCTAATATTCTATCGTTGCTCGAATAAAGACGAAAATATAACTTTGTTTATAGCTAAATTACCATATACTTTATTTTTTTTATTTTTTGATAATTAGCCTGTCTTTTTGTTTACTTAAATAGATTTTAATAAAATTTTAATGTTATCACTGAGTGTTCATTATATCATTAATTTTTTTGGTGTGTTTGGCGTTTTAAAGGGAGTCTGGCCCGAATATTGTATCATTTATCACTAGTCCTGCGTTTTTCTCTTTGCGAATTGTATCACAGAGAAATCCCTTTGCTGCTACTGAACCTGTACTGCTGAGCGTACAGTTTCGAACACGACTTTCATTTCGACACCGTCCTGTTCTTCCTTGATACAAGCGGATTCCAGGTGTTTATTGAGGTAGGATTTGAGAGCGAACGTCTTGTGGCACCTCGTGCATTGGTAGTTCTTGTCGGTGGAGTGTGTCTGCATGTGCGCTCTCAGGTTCGACCTGTCGGCGAAAGCTTTCCCGCAATGCGCGCATCCGTACGGCTTTTCTCCTGTGTGCGACCTCAAATGACCCTGCAGCAGCCACGGCCTGGAGAACAGCTTCCCGCAGACGCCGCACGCGTGGCTCAACTTGTGCGTAAGGAGATGCATCGCCAGAGCGGGCATGCTCACGTACGCTTTCCCGCATGTCACGCACTTTTTTGCCGACTGGGAATCCAGGCTTCTGTGTGTCTGTTTGTGCCTGGACAGGTTGCTCGAAGTGGCGTATTTCTTTCCGCATTCTGAGCAGGTATAACGTCCGGTCTTTTCACAGCCGTTCTCCTCCACTTCTGTCGTCACTCCGTCGTCGGATGATGATGGACTCAAAGGGGCCGCCCTCCCGGGGGCTTTTCTCTCTTTCCGGTTCTTCGACCTGCCGTCGGTGACGAGGAGGGCATCGTACGTGTAGACGACCGCGTTCGCTTGTTGGACCTGTGTCGCTTGAGTCGTCTGAGGATTCGGATTGTTGTTTTCAGCGTCGGACGAATATTCCGAATTTGGGGGCGTTAAAGGCGGTGGGGGCTGGGGAGTCGGCCTGTAGCTCACGTCGGTGCTGCCACAGCAATGGTAAACAGGCTCGGAACTCTGGTAAATCGGCTCTGGTGGTCCGGCGTTCGTCGGGTAGTGAGGGGTCACTCCCGGGGCCGGAAGCGGAGGTAGGGATCTGGATAATTCCAGCAGATCGTGGGCAGCTTCCGTTTCCTCGACGCTTCGCAATCGGAATATCGGGATTCCACCGTCATGACAGCTTACTGGTTCGGTCCTCTCGCTTTCGATATTATCGTTCGTAATGTATCTATATTCTGAAACAAAACAAAAGCCAAAAATTAATTTAAAAAATATGTGTTTTTAAATTATTTAACAATTTGAGCTATTTCATTTAATTTCAGTGTTTGAATTAGTACAAAACCTAAAATATATCTTAATAAATATAAAACAGAAACTATTATTTAACTATAAAGATAACAGCATTTCAGATAGGACGATGATATTTATTGCTAACACTGCCATATAAATCAAAGCAAAAGTTTATTAATCCTAATGAGTTTACAGTTCCGGTTTAAGTTCGGTACTTGATCATCTCTATTATACGCGACAAGTCTAAGCCAACCTCCAACTGTAATTAGCTAGATATTGAAATGATGTCTAATTAGAAGGCATCAATTTTAGATATGCCCTCCTTCAAAAGACAAACTAATCAAAGAAAATGGTTAACCTTCGTATTGGAATTCTGACAGTTTTCGCACAAACTCGGCTAAGAGTTAATTAATTACGTACTTAAGATAAAGGCTAAATTAATTTGATTATCTCAATTGTAACAAAAGCAAGGATTAAACTTTCCATGGAAGCCTTCAAAATTATTCTAATAATGAGGTAAATTTGAAATCTTTTTTGCGCCAAATTTTGTTCATATTCGTTTTTTTCTTCTTACAAACAGCAAACCTTTCACTTCATTTAAGATTGTAAGGCGGTGGCGAGTTGTGGTAATGGTTCAAAGAACAAGGTGAGAATTACAGGGTGTATCAGATGTGCAATGCTACCCTTGAAGAAAAATATTAGGGGTATTCACGATTTTTGTGTTAACCCTGTTAACTTACCTGTTAGATCGAGAAAAATGATGACGTAAACTTGTAAGAATCGGCTAGTTAACAGTGCTCGATTTAACAGGCCAGAGCCAACGTTAGGTGTTAGGGCGAAAGTGTAGTCACATTTCTATCCGTTAGGGCGGAGGTAACCAACATGGCAGCCATGACTTTAACAGCTGTTTTTTGTTAACACTTATTTTTATTCTTAAATACGCATTAATTAAATCAGGCAAATACATTTGTTTTGTTCATTTCTGACCATCATTCATAATATATATCGTATCCTATCCTATAAAGTTGTAGGCTTTTAGAGGTTAGGATACAAGTTAGGTTAGTCGGCACGAATTGACGCTTGTCATTTGTTAGTACTTTTCGAGTGCATAGATAGCACTTTGAACGAAAGAGTTGGTTAATTTTGCTTTTTTATTAATATCTGGCATCTTATAATTTAACACACACACAAACAAAAAAACTAACAACAATTAGCCTTCAAGGACTGTTATAGTTTTATTTTGGGTGCTACCAGTCGCCATGCGGAGCATTTCGGAAAAATTAACGTTTAACATGCTACGAAAAGAAGGGGGCGTTCACAATCTTACTGGACATTTCTCTATTCGAGTTAACACGAGTTAACATCTTAAAACATCTTGAATACCCATATGATCTTCGTATATGAGTCTGTTATTGTTTCAAACTGATATGAACATATGGAATAGAAAACTATGGGGCATCGTTAAACCCACCAAAATCCAATTCTTTTTCCACAACAATCAGATTCTCTCCTTCCAGCCCAAAGTCCTCGAAATCATAGTCAACACTCCCTACTGTCTTTTTATGCCTCCACTACCAACCTCGAACAACGGCTTCAAAATAAAGTAATACCAACGAAATTTTCTAAGTTCCACAATTAACTCTCCACTCACACCAACCCATCCTAATCCATGTCTAACATAATCCATCTCTATAATCCCGTCAGACAGCTAAAGCGGATGGCACTGCGGCCCCCTCGTCAGGAACGATCCCTTGTGTAATATTAAGGGACAAGAATGGTTGCTAACACCTCTTAAGACATAGTGTATTGTAAATATGTCTAATAAAAATGCATAAAATTCCAAAATATATTATCTTATACAGAGGTAGTAAATATGTTTTAAAAAAACTATTTCAATTTTTTTTTTCACTGAAGACGGATACAGCCTGGAACCGATCTCTGATATAATTGGTGATCTGCCTCCCACAAATCCGCTAAAGACCTTCGACAAACAATCATAAGGTTTTGAAAATTTAATTATTAATTTCAAAAGTTAATATTCCTAAATAGGATAAGAAAATCAATTAACAAAATTTGACGAATAGTTTTAAGTACAATGAAATTAATGTTGTGAATCACTAAAATTTACATGACCCTTGACATGAAAAATATACAGGCTACTTCTGGAGTAAATTGCAACTGATTTTAATTTCTTTTTATTGTTAAAAATATATAATTTTATTATTGTTAAAAAATAATCTTATTCTTTCAATCAAGTAATTATTCTTTCTATGTAAGGACTTGGTTGAGATAAAAAAGTCAGTGTCACGAGCGGGATTCGAACCCCCGACCTTCGGCTTAGCAATACTCAACCAAGAACTTACATATTAACAAATTTTAACCAATAGCTTTAAGTACAATGAAATTAATATTGCGATAAATTTCACATGGCCCTTGACATGATAAAAATACAGGCTACTTCTGGTGTACATTGTAACTGATTTTAATTTCTTATTGTTGTTCAAAATATATAAACTTATTATTGTTAAAAAAACAAAACAATAATCTTGTTCTTTCAATCAATTAATTATTCTTTCTATGTAAGGTCTTGGTAGAGACGAAAAAGTCAGTGTCACGAGCGGGATTCGAACCCATGACCTTCGGTTTATCGATACTCAACCTCACATAGAAAGAATAATTAACTGATTGAAAGAATTAATATTTAAAAAATAATCTTATTATTGAAAATAGAATACTACATAAAAAAACATACTATACAATCTCTAACCCAATATTTGGTGATACAGTTTAGATAAAGATGGTTCTCATAACACTAAAAATTTATTAAATAACATAACTAAAAGAGGCTTTCACATATCAGGAGCCCTGTCGATAGATAACAATAATGGAAACATTTTGGTTTTTATTGTAATTTTTTCCCGGTAAAATTTAGGTTGCGAAGCCTCTTCTCCAATTTTATGCTGCACTTCCTTTGGCATAGAAAATAAAAGCATTAAAAAAGATGAGCTTCATCAGCTCGTAACTCGAGCCGAGAGAGGGGGCTGTCTCCCCGATAGCGGAGATCGGTATAAATCCACGATTAGTGACCTCCACAAAGACGGTTCAGCTGACGAGGCCTTAAAGCGAAAAATTTTACTTTCCGATAGCCCTGAATAAACGCCTTTAAATAACAGATAAACTCCTTTTTATGCCCATCCTTTAGGCCTTTCCGTCCCCGAGGCCTTTATCAAAAATGGGACGGTGCCTCGCTTTACCACTCTCCCCATCGTGACACTTTTACTTTCAAGGTAATCCCAAAGGATTATTTCCCTCTTTTCCTTGCTTAGTCTGCAATGGGTTTAATTAATTTTACAAACGCGCTGGCAAAACCTCCCTTTCTGACAAGTAATTACATTATTAAAAAATGTTACGTTTTGTTTATGTTAGGATTTTGGCATATTACATATCAATGCCTGTCGACTGCCAAGGTTAAATAAACGTCATAAAAGTATGCTATAATACATTATGCAAACATGTTTCTATAAGGATGTAATCTATTACAAAAATCAGTAAATCATTACTTTTCGAAAATAATCGTTTGCAGCTATTGAAAAAACATTGAAAAAGTGTGACGCGTTTCTGCGGGAAAAATATTGCTAAAGAAAATACATAATTATTAATTGTGGTGATTAGCGACCGTTAATCGATGATTATTCGAAAATCGTGTGCGGTCTGGTGTGATGTATGTTTTAGAAAAACATTTTCTTTATTGTGTCAACGTTTCGATCTTTATTGAGATCATCTTCAGGGCCTGAGATATACAAACATTGTTTAAATTTAACAAATACAGTGACTCACCGATTCGTTCACAGCTGAATGTAAATTGAGTCATATCATTATTTACTTTACAAAACAATTATAGGACATCAAATAAACGTAGTTTTTTTATCTTATGATTCTTCCTTCTTGAAGGTGGGATAATAGGTCATCTCAAAAAACCACAACCAGTTTTTATCCACAACGCTTCGGATTTATTTTAATCCTTCTTCAGGTAAGTTAACGCCTGTACACAGAACAAATATTTTTTACATTTTTATATCGACATAGTTATCATTGTTTCTTCACTACTTACAATTGTTAAAAAAGTGGTCGTCAGCCATTAATNGGTCTGTGATAAGATGTTGATAAGAGGTCGAACGTCACATAAAATATTAATGACTGACGAACACTTTTTTAACCATTGTACGTAGTGAAGAAACAATGATAACCATGTCGATATAAAAATGTAAAAAATATTTGTTCTGTGTACAGGCGTTAACTCACCTCAGGAAGGATTAAAATAAATCCGAAACGTTGTGGATAAAAACTGGTTGTGGTTTTTTGAGATGACCTCCTTCAAGAAGGAAGAATCATAAGATTAACTGTTGAGGTCAAAATATAAGAAAACATCGTTACTCTAATCATGGGTAGTTTTTTTAATAATTTTATTTATCTTAACACAAAAAACAACCAAATAATTAAATTGTTCCTTTATCATGATAGAATTAAAATAATAGAAAAGAAATTACCGTGTGTGAACGATAATATGATTGTGTCATAGAAAGTCCTTTAATATTTTGTATGTCCTCCTTTGGCTTTCAAAACTGCATCAGTTCTTCTGGGCATACTTTTCACGAGATTTCTGTACTGTTCTGGATCAATTAGATCCCATTCAACATGTGTTTTTTCCCAAAGTCGATCGAAGTTTGAAGCGTCTCCTGCAGCATCGGCTAAAGATTTTTTAGTTTTCCCCACAAGTGCTAAATTCGATTAAGGTTAGGTGACTGTGGGGGCCATTCCATGACATTAAAACCACGATAAGCAAACCACTCTTTGGTCTGCAACGGTTTCTTCACTTCCCGTCGCTCTTAATCCGGCCTCAGCAAACATCTCCGTTTGTTTCAGCACTGACATCCATATTATCATT